GCCTTCTTAAAAGGATACATGTGATTATATTTAGGGTCCAACTGAATAATTCAGAATAAACTCCTTTCAAAATTGTAAACTTAATCACATCTTTTACCATATAAGGTAATATTCACAGATTCTGGGGATTAAGAAGTGAATATCTATGGGTGGTCATGTTTTTAGCCTACCATAACATTTGTCTTATGATTTGTCTAATAGCTGCGAAATGTCTTCATCTGTCAACTGTCTCTACTTTGTCACTGTGGGCAGAAAATGAAAAATACTAATTCTGAACTGTGTTCAGTGAAAGCTGAGAACAGATTACAGATACAGTGTTTCTAGTCTTTTTTTATATCTTTTTGAAAGATGATGTGATACTTTGAACAACACAATAAGGAAACTAAACAGTGATTTATTTCACTGTGGCATCATCCTTTGGGTCATTCTATCATTCTCTGTTTTCTTATTTTTTTTTTCTGCAAAATGGGAATAATTGATGAGTAATAAGGAAATAATTCCCAGGGCAACAAAATGGCAAAATGTTTCAAGATATAGGAACAATATATCCTGTCTCAGCAATTCTGTAATGTATCTCAGATGTGTAAAAGGATCCAGTGGACCCATACAGTAATTGCAAAATGTAGTTTTATTCTATCCTTTCTTAGGATAAAAACCTTGATATGTTGATCCTTACAAATAGTTAGAACTGCTCAGAAAAGGAACCAAAAAACTGAAAGTGCACCCAGGAAACCTAACAGCATGCCAAGGGTTAATTATTGAATTCTTAAAAAATTTCAGGATACCAAAACCAAGAGACAGATTCTAGAACCCTTTAAATATCATTAAATCACTTAATGTCCCTTTAAAATAACAAAACAATTCTGTAATTACATTTCCAGTTCAATTTAGCTTACTGTGTTATATATAATGCTCTTATTATTCTGTTCCAAAACATGTCATCATATTCTGATTTGGTATTATCCACCTGAACCTCCAGCTCATAGTGCAGTTTGTGAAATTAATCAATATTTCAAACATAAATCACTCTGTGCAGGAATATATATGCATGTTTCTGGCCAGAAGAACTTTAAATAAATAAACAAAATGCAAAATCTTCAGTGATTTATCCAGGGTGAAAGATCAATGGAAACCTAGGGACCTGTTTGCAAATTTAATTTCAATTCAGCATTCACGAGCCCAGTCAATAAATCTTTACTGACTTTGGCTGGCTGAGGGGACCTCAGACCACAGAAAGGAGGTTTGACTTGGGGGGAAGGGGCAAGGTTTTCTTATACCTGTAGAGAATATTGTTAGAGCTCTTAAGCTTGATGCAAGAACATTCATAAACAGGATATGTTACAAAGTATGGAAATAAGGGATTCACATGTCCAACAAAGCTCCTTTGGAACAATTCTTTTAACATAGAGGGTAATTGAAAAACAGCTAGTTTTCTCATTCTTATAGTTACTAGATGACTAAAAAAAAAAAAAAATTAAATGTGGTAAGTGAACATTATGTAAATAACAGTTTTCAAGTATAAATACTGAGTCCTTAAACTTTGCATAATTTTAGTTTTAGAGTACTTGTTTAGTGATAAACTAGCAACGCTTTTTGATTCTGGTACTCTGAAGGAGAAGTTCTCTTTTTTGAGTGCCTACCAGCCACTGGGCGAGACACTTGCCCTGTTTATACCGTTTAATCCTTAACATTCCTGTGAAGTAATAGTGTCATTACCATTTTACAAATAAACCAAAACTCAGATGAAGATACTACCAAAGGTCACTATACTGGAGTTTTCAGACATTGCACATATATTCTCCAGCCTCTTCCTTAGGAACCTAGCTGTGTTTTGTACTCATGGTGCTGACCCTGGGGCACACCTGATTAGAACAAAGATGGGCTACCAACTCCAGAACATTTAATCCAAAGGCTAAATAGGGGTTGGTGGCATGGCTGGACACTAAGCTCTGTTCAAACTGATGTGAGCCAAGCTAAGCCAACCCGGGTCCTTCCCCTGGAATTCAAACACTGAGAAATTGAGTAGAGTGAATTTAATGTAGAGCCACAGCTGGTGGCCATATTGGGTTGTGAGTATGATTGGAAAGCCAAAATGAGAGAAACTGTGGTTTCTAAGCATTAAAGAGAATAGCTTTTGATTCTGATGACATGCCTGTGAAATTGCCTCTTGTATCCTACAATAAAACCCACTTTTCACCTGAGCTAGTTTGACTGGGTATCTGTTCTTTACATCCAAAAAAGGCCTTGAACAAAACAGGTATATACACAGTAAAAGGCAAAGGCAGGTTTTGAACCATGGGTTTTCTAAAATCAAAGCCTTTCATTTTTTCACTGTATTCTTTTTCAAGACAGAGAATCTTGTGTTAGGAGATATAACTGTTTCTGTTTTGCTGTAACTGTAGTACCGGAAATTACTTACTACATTGCGTTGATGTAGGCAATCATAACAGGTAAGGCACCATGGCTTTCACAACTGTTAGTGGTTATTAAACTGAACAATTAGTTGATAAATGTGGGCCAGTCTCTTTTCCTGGCCAAATAAAAAAAAAAGAGAGAAAAGAGAAAAGGGAACAAATTACATGGAAAAGGCAAAAGACGGTGAACCGACATATGATGACTTTTCTTTTTGTGTCAGCCTAATACAAAAGAAAAAAAAGATCACAGGGTGACTTCCCCAGTAGAATTACCTTATTTCTAAGATTGGCGTTGCCTGTCTTTGCAGTTTACATAAATGTAAATAGATAAAGTGCCCTGATCAAAGTCTAACAGTAATCTGTTGTTGCAGAATGGAGAGAGAACAACTTAACCCAGAGATTCTCAACTGGGGGCAGTTTTGCCCCTGAGGAGACATTTGATAACATCTGGAGACCTTTTTGGTTATTACAAGTATTGGGCGCTACCAGCAGGAGTGGGAGAAAGCCAGTGATGCTGCTGCACATCCTACAATGTACAGGACAGCTCCCCACAACAGAGAATGATATGGTCCAAGTTGTCAATAGTGCCAAGATTGAGAAACCCTTCCTAAACCTACCCTGAAATGTTTCTCTTCTACTTGATGCTTGCTTCTTGCCTCACCTAATACCATTTACATTCACCTTGCAACCACTGTCCATATCCTTCTCCACCAAAAATCTTCTTCCTTTTCTAATCCACTAATCAAGGGATGCAGATTTTCTACTTTTTCCTTCTCCGGTTGTTTTACCTCTCATACATTTTGACCAGTTGTGTGCTGGAGCTAGGTTGCGCTGGTTCACGAGAACAGATTTTGTGTATCTCTTTCCAATTCTACAGTCAGTGATGGCACATTAACTGCCTGAAATTGGCCATAGTGGTGGTAGTATTTATAATACAGAAATTGACAAACACTGCAAATCAGGGCTCTCCCTGACCAGAGCTAGCTCACCACTGAATTAACCTCTCAGCCTGCTTTCATTCAAGCCCAGCTTCAGGAAGAGGAAATGAATGCAGAAGAATGTCATTACATTAGAAGGGCCCAAATGTGGATGTTGTAAAAGTTTGAGCAGCAACAGCCTGGTTTGTCTGACGTGTAGGACAAGCGTGCATAAAATATTAGTATCCATATCTTCATTATACTTCCTTCCCCCCCCCCCCCAATTCTGGAGTTTAATTATTGTTTCTAGGCCCTCCTTTGAATATCTTCTTAAGTGGAAAACCAATGGACCAATCTTTGTACCTGTCCCTACAGGAAGCGGTTTGACAGGGCTGAAGCAGAGTATGTTACAGCAAAGCTAGATCTCCAGCGCAAGACTGAAATTAAAGAGCAACTCACTGAACACCTCTGTACAATCATACAGCAAAATGAGCTCCGCAAGGCCAAGAAGTTGGAAGAGTTGATGCAGCAACTGGATGTACAAGCTGACGAGGAGACTCTGGAGCTTGAGGTGGAGGTGGAGAGATTGCTGCATGAACAAGAAGCCGAAGCAGGGAAACAGGTGGTTCATTTGGAGAGGCCATTTCAGCCTTCTGGGGAGAGTGTGACATTAGGATTTGCCGAAGAGAACAAAAATCATCAAGAACACGCCACTTCCTTAAAGGTAGATGAACAGTGTGAAAATCCCAGCAGCATTCCCCTTCAAAATCGAGACCAAAATCAAGAAGTTAGAACTCCTGTAAAGGCCATTTCAACTGCTCCGACCACATGAAGTGCCAGTGTTTGTTCACTCAGCTAGTGCGGGATTCTGTAGAGTACACTTCTGTTGGAGATTATGCCATGAGCTCGGATAAGTGTGCCTTTAAAACGGTGTTAATTTTTGAATCCCTGGTTAGTTTTAGTATAACATGTTTGACATTCTAAACCCTCAAATTACAATAATTTTATACGTAGGCACACAGTTTACCTTGATCCAGGGCCAATTCCCTCGGTGTACCCTGATGACTGGGTGAAAACAAACGACCCAAATAAGATGGAAGAAAAACTACACAGTTAAGAGTGTTGTTGGACGAGGTAAATATAGAAAAGTAAAATGGAAAATAATACTCAACACCTCATCAAACTCATTTGACTTCTAGGAGAGGTGTTGATGAGAGTCCTATTTTATGTAGTTAGTAGAGAGACACCAAAGTTAACATGTGAAAAAGAGTCAGCAGGAGGAAAAAAACTAACAAGAGTAGCATGTTGAATTGTCTATTGGATCTTACTAGAGCTGCAAAACACAACTTGGGAGTTGCAGTTTAAGAAAGACAAACAGCTTCAGTAACGTTATTTTTGTCTTCAGTTTGCCTTTTAAATGGCTTTAATTCACAACCTGAGTTTTGATTGGTTCATACACACACACAAATATACCACTAATACGTATAATTTTACTATTAATGTATTGTCTTTAATCAGCACATTGATTAAATTTAGACAATGAAAACATTTCTACAGTGAGGCTAAAAATAATACAGAAAACCTATCAGTACTTTTGATTATCCAAAAAAATTGATACACTTTTTTTCTAAAGTTATTTGTAAATATGTGTTGCTGGATATAAATTATCCCATCATAAAGCATTTAAATTGCTAAAATGGTGATTTTCTTAGTATTTTAATAGTTTGTTAATTATTATCACTAATACTTGACCCACTTTGTGCTATATGTGAATGTGTAAATAAATACTGTTGGTTTGTCACAGAATCTGTGAATTTCACATTAAATTGTGATCTATTTATCAGAAATTCCAAAAAGTACTACATTTTAAGTCTTAAAAAAAGAACTATCATAAAAGAGAATAAGGACAAATGTAATATTGTATTTATAATAATGCTGAAAAAGTAAGGGCCATCCTATTTTTAAATGAGTTTGAGTATTCTAGCAGTGTGGATGAGCTGTGTATTTTTATATTATGTAATTTGAGTTAAAATTATAGCTTTCCATTACTGACTTACCTAAACAGGCATTTGTATAGATAGTTGTGTTTTTATTTATGAATGATATTCATAAAAACTGAAAGCATCATTGTCCAATACACTTATTTTTCTAAGGAATAAACGAGTCTGATACATCTATAATGTGGTCTTTTGTTTACTGTTAAAAAAATCTCAGTATGTGTTCTTACGTGCTACGTGGTAGTCATGTGCCTCTACTTTCATGTGGTAGATGCACATGAGCCTCTGTTAAGGGAAATTCATCAATAAATGAGGTTCTGTAAGATCCGCTACATACAGGGAGCTACAATCTGATTCTCATTCGAAATATTTATAAGGTATATGGAGAAAGGAGAACCATGAAATAAAGAATTGGAAGGGACCTCAGAGATCATCTGATTTTATCATCTTTACAGAAGAGGAATTTGAGAACCAGAGATTTCACTTATGGCATGTTGGCCAACTGGCTTATTTTAAACTTAAAGTGCTAGTAACGTCGCAGTTCTAAAACTCTTGGTGTATCTCTTACATGTATCAGGCTGTAAAGTTCACTGCATCCCTCCACTTGAAAACTTTGTTTTATAACCCATTCAGGGATTGTGTTTGTGCTTGTGAAATGCTTTCAAATATGTCTATAAAAGGTCCACTGATACCATTATTTTGAAAAACTTGCTTTGCTTGGCTTTCCCAGGGTGGTATCCGAGTGCTCAGGTGATGATATAAGTGACAAAGTTATATTGCATCAGTTTTGTACAAGGCAGCTGTATTCCATGTGTGGGAGGAATAAGAGCAAATGAAGTGGGGGCTCGTTGGTATGAGGACCATATGCACTGGCTTTGCCAGGATAGTCCTGATATCTTTTAAAATCATAAAGCATATTCAAAAGACTTTGATATATGGATTCACAAATCCACAAATAATTGTTACTTTCTGTGAAGGAACTTAGGTTCAAAATTACTGCCCTGAGTTTATTGGAGCACTTTGTAGAGCTGTCCCTCTGTAGAGTTGAACTCCTCTTCTCTTGCTTCTACTTCTCAAATAGTTGGAGCATAAAGTTGTCGAGGCTCTTAATAATGTATTACCATAACCATTGGTAGTAATTTTCACTTGTCTTAAAAAAAAAAAATACTCTGAAGGGTAAACTTGAATTCCTGAATTTAAGAATTCTTATACATTGATTCCCACTACTTTCTTTAAAAAGAACCATTTTTATAGGTTTCAGAGAATTTCTTAAAGCATAGTTCTCATTGCATTTAAAATACAGTGAGAGTTTTTCACGCTCTTCACCTCTGCATAATTCTACTGAATTACGGCACTTGCAGGTGGTAAATCTTTGTACTCATTGAGAGAGCACAGCTCGTTTCCAAGTCAGATGATAGAAGTCTCTGATTGGAATTTCTAGAACATATTTTATTGCTAGATTGGCATTTGAATTATAGAGTAAAAACTCTGCTATAAACCTCTTTCATTCTTTGTTTGGATTTAGCAACATAGTACTCTCAAGAAGCTTTAAGTATTCAGCAACTTCCTCTTCCAAAACATTGGCACAAAACGGACTCAAGTTATTCTGACCCAGGCCATTCCCAGTGACCTTTATAAATGATGTTTTGGGTTTTGTATTTCTCAGGAGCCAAGTCAGCATTTTAAAGGCCCTGATAGATATAACTCAGTCTGCCAGACAAGACCTGGGGCCACTCTGGACCAGGGTAATTATACCCCCTCTCAACATAGATCTACCCCAGGCCTGACTTGAACTACTCTCTGGAGGGATGAAGCAGGACACTATTCTCCATCTGCCTTTTCCTTAATGTCAGCTACTTTTGCAAGCTCCTAATCCCAAACAGCTGTCTTGAAAATGCAACATTATCTCTCTATGAAATTGATCAAACCACTGTAGGTAGCTACATATATGGACAGAGCCATGTGAGAGGTGTATGATCTGCTCCTTTTGTCCTTAAGCTTATCATCTACCTGAAGGACCAAGATTTATACTCAAAGGTTGATACAGAACATAATGTCTTCTTGATGGGAGGCAAAATGAGCGGTTGGAACACAACATGGATGCATCCTCCAGAAGTCCCAAATTTTTAGAACACTTCTAATTTTAAATACTCTGTCCACTTTTTTTTTTTTTTTTGCAATCTATGAATGTATCTAGGGCCTGCCGTATCTTTCAGTTTGCCTTTAGCAGTAAGGAGCAACACATGCACAACTAAAACAAAAAGCCTCTGGTAGACAACATGTACACATTCTTGAGTTAAAAAAAATTATAGTCACCACCACAGAGTATTGAGAAAAGAGGAGGGTTTTGCATGATTTAAAAGAGGGGGCGGGGCACTGGGATTTATCAGTGCAAAAAACCCCCAAGTATTAGAAAAAGTAAGTACATGCCTTTCTGACAGAGGGTTGATAGTGTCTTGTGTGGAGAGTAGCATAAATATAAGAGCTCATTGCAACAACTCAAGGTCTTGCTGAATCAAGGAGCAATAATTATTGCCCAAACCAGAACAAGGTGGAAATGGAACAGACTCGTGTGAACTCAAGGATAACTCAACATGGATGTGTGTTCCAAGATCACATAGAAGAGAGGTGTTTCCAAGCCAAATGACTCTAGGAGCCTAAAATAGAGCCATAATTAAGCAATAAGACGTGACAGGGAACACATTTCTCAGTGATTATAGCATGCCTCAAGGGATAAGTCACTAGGTCAAAGGTTCATGTGATGAGTGAAATAACACTGCAATGTATAGCATCACACTGTTAGAGGGAGAAGGAGAAGGAAATGAATAATCGGAGTTCGAAGAGCATTTCATGAGCTATTCTTCTAGTTTTTGGGAAATACATCCATGTGTACGGTACATGTGGCCATTAGTTGTATCCAGCACCTGGAAGCTCGGAATTTACACCAGAGCCTTCACTTATATTAAAACCCTGCAGAATTGTCCATCTTCTCATTTTCTCAGCCAAACAAAAACCAGGCCATTAAGATACAGACTTGGAAGTGCATAACCATATATATGGCACTACAGTCTGGTAGAATTTTAATTGCGGGAACTTAGACCTGGCTTTTATAACTGAAAAATAGCTGAAGCAACCACATGGAGTCATTTTCCCAGTATTTTGTCTTATTTACCTCCTGTGCATTTCCCTCCGAAACTACCAATAGACAAGGCCCCAGTGTCACACAGGTCCAAAAACATCTTTGGTCTTCTAGTCTGAGCTTTCCTTACCACTGTGCTGCTGGTGGAAGACAGAGAGAACTCCAGAGCCAGTGGCCAACTGAACCCCACACTATGGTAGAGGGAGGCCTTTCACCTGGATGAGAAACAAAATACCAAGCACAGCGGGATGAAAATTTTCCAGACTAGCAGATGTCCTGAAAAGCCAGGAGAGGCAGTTTTTGACTGCGAGATTCCTCTCCATGTTTCTGTGATTCTTATTCATCACTACAGAAGATCATTAAAAATCTTCTGAACCAACCTCAGAGAACAAGATTTTTTGTGATTCTTCATGTATCCCATGGCACAGGCTAGGGTTGTACCCTGGACAGAATTCTGGCCAAACAGTGGTTTGACTTAGATAGCCCAGGCAACCCGTGTTCTCACCTCCCCCAAAATCATTCTTAAGAAAAGTACTGAAGACGGTGCTATAGACTGAATGTTTGCATCCCTCCAAAATTCATTTGCTGAAACCTAACTGCCATGTGATAGTATCAGGAGGTGGGACTTTGGGGAGGTGATTAGGTCAGGAGGGTAGAGCCCTCATGAATGGGATTAGGGCCCTTATAAAAGAGACCCCAGAATGTTCCCTTGCTCCTTCCACTGTGTGAGGACACAGCAAGAAGACAGTCGTCTGTGAACCAGGAAACAGGGTCTCACCAGATACCAAATCTGCCGGCACCTTGATCTTGGACTTCCCAGACTCCAGACTGTGAGAAATAAACATCTGTTGTTTTTAAGTTGCCCAGTCTGTACTATTCTGTTACAGCAGCCCAAACAGACTAAGACAACAGTTATGTCTTGGGGAAACTAAGTAGGTTACTTTTCTCAAGTGTCCCCTTTTAATACAATGAAATATATTAAAGCAATGTATTTTAGCTTGTGTAGTGGAAATCTTAACCCCCAGCTAAAAAAATTTCAAGCATCAGAGAGCAGATGTGAGAATGGGGTTGTAGTGAACTGCCTGGAGAGGGCTTGAGGAGATCCTGCAATCATACTCCACTGCATGAACTGAGAAATGAGTCTTTATTTGCCTTTATTGCCCATGGCATTATAATCTCCATTTGAGGAAAATTACCCCAAGCTGTCCTCCCCTGACTTCCTATTGCTAACACAACATGTAGTTGAAGAAGTGAAACCAAGTCTGACATTCTAGCCACGTATATGGCTGCATAGTAAACCATCCCATAACTGAGTGTCTTCAAACAGCAACCACTTTTGCTCATGATTCTATGGGTTAATAATTTGGTCTAGGCTGGGCAGTTCGTTGATACTGCTGGGGATCTCTTATGTTGCAGTAATTTGGTGGCTTCCCTGGGGCTACATGACCTAAGAGAGCCCCACTCACATTCTGGCAGTTGGTGATGCCTGTCACCTGGACCTTTTTCTCCAGTTAGTCTCTTATCCTCAAGAGAGCTAACTTGAACTTCTATTCATGGAGGTCCCAGGGTTTCAAGATGGCAGGACGAGCTGTAGACAAAGTTCTACAGTCACATATATCACTTCTGCTGCATTCTGCTGATCAAAGGTCACAAGACCAGCCCAGATTCCAGTGGTGGGGAAGTGGACTTCACATCTTGATGGGAGGAGTAGGACACTCACATTGCAAAGGAACAGCCATCTAGGAATGGGAGGAATTGTGGTTGTCATCTTGGCAAACAATTTACCACAGTCTTCCCCCTGCTTGCTACAATAATTCACATTTGTCCCACACAGAAAATGTGCTACCTCTTCCCCCAAAAGTCTCATCCCATTATGGTTTCAGGCATGCAGTCCACGATCTCATCATCTGATCAAGCCCAGATGTGAACGAGCCTCCTCAGGTATAGCCCCTTCAGTGTGGCTCCTCTTAATCTAAAGACCTGTGAGCTAAAATGAAAAGTCACCTGTTCTTCCCACACTTGAACATGCAGTGTGAGACAG